TGAGTGCCACTTCTGGCACCCGTGCCATAGGTTCGCCACCACTGGCCTACACTTATTCACATTTGATTTTTAATTTCAATTGATCTCACTCTGGCTGGACAGGAAAAGCCAAAGGAACAGATGCGGTCTGGTGGGGAGGGGGGCATGAAATGCCCAGGTATTGTTTTACGTGCCTGTCTTAAGTGCTTATTGAGAGATTGCATAAATAGTTTTCCAAATTAAGATGGCATTTCTGTGCATGTTTACCTGGAGAAAACAATGAATTAGGTTTGTCTTTGACGAGACATTGTTGAATGAAAAATGTTCATCAGGGTCCAGTCCAAGCCGGGAACAAACAAAATGGAGACTGCTTTAGAAAGAAGGTTGCAGTTTATTGACGAGGAGAGCCAGACAGAAAGATGGCTCTGGGAAAGCTGACCACATGTTGCTGGGAGTGGTGGGTTTTTATATCTTCTTGGGCTGTTTAGGTTGTTTCCTGTTCCTGTTTGAGGCTTTGTATTTCCTGTGTCATGTACTTTGACCTGGGTCTGAGTGTGCCCTTTTGGTATTGGTGGGTTAATCCTATTATGTTTCCTGTCCTTAGAGTTTGGGTGGGGGTATGTAGATTTTAGGGGCCTTTTTCTCCCTAATCTCATCAGCTTCTAGCTTCCTGGCTCCAATCTTTCTGAAAGGATTATCACATCTGTATTTCTAAAAGCTGGCCTCTGTCTAGTTTCTGCTTGGGGGGGAGAGGGGCTGGGGCTTTTTTCTGGGTGCTGGTTTCTGTCTTTTTTAAAGATTTTCTCCATTATTCCTTTGGGGAAATACATTCTGCCTTTCTAATATGCCCCAAAATATTTCTTTCTCTGGTTTCTCCCCACAACATATTTCTATAAATATGTTTTTCTGTGATTGCAGAATTTTTTCCTGCGTTTGCAGCAGAACAAGTTCCTTTAAAAAAACATTAAGACTCTTATTTAGGTGTATTTTGCGTTTTTTTCAAAAAATTCATGTTTTTTTCTTTTTTTATCTTGTGAGAATCTGGTTGCATTGATGTCTTCTACAAAATCGTGACAATTTGACCGTGTTTTGCCTAAGCCCACCCACCTATTTACCTCAAAAGGCTGCTGTATTTCCGAGCAGGCCTCACTTCTGAACAGAATACTCAAAATATTGTCTTGTGAAATAAAACGCGGGTTGCCCTGATAAATTATTTGGGCAGGTAGGGTGGAAAACAGCCAAGCAACATGATTTCATTTTCTAGCAGGAAGAACAATCCAATTTAATTACAGTGTTCTAGTCCATATGACGAAGGAGAGAAAGAGAGAGAGAGAGAGAAAGAAGTTGAGTCACTCTTCCAATTAAGCATACGTTATAAAAGGCAATCTATAAATGATTTTATTTAAGGGCAGTCCTTGACCTATGACTAAAATTGAGCCCAACATTTCTTTTGCTAAGCAAGACACTGGCTAGGTGAGTTGTCCTACTTTATGAACGTTTGTGCCACAGTTGTTAAGCAAGTCACTTTAGTTGTTAAATGAATCATGCAGTTAAGGAAATCTGCCTTCCCTGACAGATTTTGGCTGGCAAGATTGTGAATAGCTATCAATTAGACTAGGGGTCTTCAAACTTGGCCCTTTTATGACTTGTGGACTTCAACTCCCAGAATTCCTCAGCCAGGCGTGCACGCCTGGCTGAGGAATTCTGGGAGTTGAAGTCCACAAGTCATAAAAAGGCCAAGTTTGAAGACCGCATACTGGCTGAGGAATTCTGGGAGTTGAAGTCCACAAGTCGTAAAAGGGCCAGGTTTGAAGACCCCTAAATTAGACAGTTGTAAATGTGACTATTGTAAATGTGTGATTGTTGCCAAGGATCACGTGACCACAAGATCATTGTGACAGACATAAATACGAGGACTGGTCAAAACTTACTTTTTTGTCGTAACTTCAAACTTCAAGTATGCCTTAAGTTGAAAATTTTTCTCCAATGCAAATTTTTTGTAAGTCTTCTAAAAAAGTGGTGGAGTTATATTCTGCAAGTGACTTTCTTAAGATAGATCGTCAGGATCGCTTCACCCACCTCCCAAGAATTTACCAATTAAAATGCAATCTTCAGATGCTGGCTGAGGAATTCTGGGAGTTGAAGTCCACCCATCTTAAAATGGCTGAGGTTGAGAAACGAGAATTTAAATCTACCGTCTTTGACACCAGGGGGAAAAAAAATCTCTCCTGTTTTCCAAGATTTGAAATCCAGATGTATTTTTCTGTTCATCTTGGTACAGGTCGTCCTCAACGTACGACCACAACTGAGCCAAAATTTCTGTTCTTAAGCGAGACAGTTGTTAAGTGAGAACAACTCACAGAATTTTGAACTCTAAGTCGAAAAAAGTTGAGGTTGCTGCTTTTAGTTTTCGTAGCCGGACGGCGTTTCCTTTGCTGATATTTTACGTCGCATTTAAAATTTATAATCCTGATTTTTTTTTTAATGTAGCTGTTTTCTTTTATGGGTCACAGCCAAGCCGCTAAGGACTGGGCAGGATATACAGTTACTAAGCAAATAAATTGACGAAGGGTTTGATGTGGGTGGGAAACTGCCTCCAGTATTTATGGGAATAGAGTGGGGAATGTTTTACTGGATTCACATGAAACCCAGCTGTAATTGCTCACAACTGCTGTGCAAATGAAGAAAGCAATTGCTGGTCTGACACCTTTGCACTTCTCCTGATTTTCTAGGACCAGGGAAAAAAAATTAAATACATGGGAATAAGTGCAGAGGTAGTCCTTGATGTAAAAAAGATGCTGAGACTCTCTAGAAAGAGTGCAGAGAAGAGCAACAAAGATGATTAGGGGACTGGAGGCTAAAACATATAAGGAACGGTTGCTGGAATTGGATATGTCTGGTTTAATGGAGAGAAGGACGAGGGGGGACATGATAGCAGTCTTCCAGTATCTATGGGGCTACCCCAAAGAAGAGGGAGTCAGGCTATTCTCCAAAGCGTCTGAAGGCAGGATAAGAAGCAACAGATGGAAACTGTCCAATGTTGTTGTTGTTGTTGTTGTTATTATTATTGTTATTATTATTATTATTATTATTTATATAAGTGATTAGTATAAGCACCAGAGGGCAGGACAAGAAACAATGGAGGGAAACTAAGCAAAGAGAGAAGCAACCTAGAACTAAGGAGAAACTTCCTCATAGTGAGGACAATTAACCAGTGGAACAGCTTGCCACTAGACATCATGGATGCTCCATCACTGGAGGAAGAAGAGACTGGGCAGTCACTTGTCTGAAATGGCATAGGGTCTCCTGCTTGAGCAGGGGGCTGGACTAGAAGACCTCCAAGGTCCCTTCCACCTCTATTCTGGTTGATTGATTGACTTATATAAGTCAGTTTTTTCATTGCCATTATAACGTTGAATGATTACTCAGCGAATTGTTGTAAGTCAAGGACTACCCATATACATTTATGTTAAAGTCCTCGGCTTACCACAGTTCACTTAGAGACTGTTCGAACTCACAACAGCACTGAAAAAAGCACTGGGTCACGTGATTCCCCTTTTGCAACCTTCTGACAAAGTCAGTGGGAAAGCCAGTTTCCTTTAACAAGCGTGCTACTAACTTCACAACTGCAGTGATTCACTTCACAACTGTGGCAAGAAAAGGTCGTAAAACGTGGCAAACCCCACACAACCACTGTCTTGTTTAGCAACAGAAATCTCGGACTCTGTTGTGGTCGTAAGACAAGGACTGCCTGTAATGTAAAGATGGATTGTCCATCTGAGATGGAGAAAAGAAAGGTTTTTCTGTGGACCGGAGGGTGTGTGGTTTTGTGTGCTGCCTGCATCTCGCAGATGGGACTTTGCTTGTTTGTGCAGACTGGTTGCTGGCATGCTGCAGCCCGGTACCGGTCCACGGACCAGGGGTTGAAGACCCCTGGTCTAAGCAACAGTCAGATAAGAGGCAGCTGACCCCCAAGAAGGAAAGGGATATGGCAAATGTTTGAGAAGGGACCCTGCCTAGATTTTTAGATTGTAAAAGTGAGAGGGGACAAAAGATCTACCTGCAAGATCCTGTGAATGTAATCTCACAATTAAGGACAGAACTACAGGGAGTCCTCGGCGTACGACTGCAAAGAAGCCCAACATTTCTGTTGTTCAGCGAGACCTTTGCTAAGCGGGTTTTGCTCCATTTTACGACCTTTCTTGTCACAGTGATTAAGTGAATCACTGCACTTGTTAAGTTAGTCACACAGTTGTTAAGTGAATCTGGCTTTCCCCATTGACTGCTTATCAGAAGGTTGCAAAAGGGGATCATATGGGAGACTGCAGCTGTCATCAGTGTGAGTCAGTTGCCGAGTGTCCGAATTTGGATTCTGTGGTTGTGCAGATGCTGCAACGGTCGTAAGTGTAAAAAACAGTCCCTTTTTTCAGTGCCGTTGTAGCAATAGCGCTTATACTTATATACTGCTTCACAGTGCTTTACAGCCCTCTCTAAGCGGTTTACAGAGTCAGCACCTTGCCCATTGCAATCTGGGTCCTCATTTTACCGACCACGGTAAGGATGGATGGAAGGCTGAGTCAGCCTTGAGCTAGTCAGGAGCGAACTCTTGGCAGTGGGCAGAGTTAGCCTGCAATTGCAATAGCACTTAGACTTATATACCGCTTCACAGTGCTTTTACAGCCCTCTCTAAGTGGTTTACAGAGTCAGCATCTTGCCTCCCCAACAATCTGGATCCTCATTTTACCGACCTCGGAAGGATGGAAGGCTGAGTCAGCCTTGAGCCAGTCAGGATCGAACTCCTGGCAGTGGGCAGAGTTTGCCTGCAATAGCAATAGCACTTATTAGACTTATATACCGCTTCACAGTGCTTTTACAGCCCTCTCTAAGCAGTTTACAGAGTCAGCATCTTGCCCCCAACGGTTGTAACTTCGAACGGTCACTAAACAAACTGCCGTAATTCGAGGAGTACTTGTACTATTCCCAGCTGATACCATTTTCCTTCTCTTCTTTTCTCCTTCCAGGGAATCCCACTGCCTGCCTTTGGTGGACTCTTTCCTTACCCGTACACTTACATGGCGGCTGCAGCCGCCGCCGCCTCTGCCATGCCGGTGACCAGCGCCACCACTGCCAGCTCGCTGTCCCGGAACCCCTTCCTGAGCAGCGCTCGAGCTCGCCCGCGTTTCAACCCCTACCAGATCCCGGTGGCCATTCCTCCCACCACCAGCCTCCTCACCACCGGGTTGCCTGCCAGTTTGAACGTCGGCTCGGAAGCCTCCAAGCCCGGGAGCAGTCGAGAATCCAGCCCTCTTTCGGATCTGCCCGTCCCGAAATCCAGCAGCCAGCGGGCATCTCTGTCTCCCAAGCCATCTTTGAAGGGTTCCATGAACGAGCTGCAGAACATCCAGAGACTGGTCAGCGGTTTGGAAACCCAAAGGGAAGTGTCCCCTAGTAGGAATTCCCCCAAGTCGACGGTTCACGGAAGCAGCCAACCCCCGAGAGCTTAGGGGGGTCCCCCGGGAAAGAGAGGTGTACAGCACATAGTATATAAATATTTATTTTTTAAGAAAAAGAGGAGAGGAGATTGAGATGGGTCGAAGGCTGTATAAGCATCAATAGCTCGGGCGTCCACTGAGATGGACAGGTAGGGCCAAGCAGAGGAGGCAGGAAAAGCATGCAGGAAGGCCGTTGCTGACCAGGTTTTCGAACTCATGCTGTGATCTCAACAGCCCACTGATATATACGTGTTTCCTGGCCCCCCCCCCCGGATCAAGCCGAAGAGGTCCGTTTTCATCCAAGTGCATCTCTAAAATGGCCGTCGGAGAGGAAGGTGACGTCCTAAGGTCACCTCCAACTCGTTTTGGAAAAACCCCTCGGCACTTCTTCTCCCTCTGAGAATTGAATTTTGAAACGTGGACGATGCCGTAGGACTCGGTCCTCCGACGCTAGGAAAACGGGGAAGATGCAAGCTTGTTTTTTTTTTTTTTTGCCAAGCTATAAATGTTAGCAAATTGGGTTTATATCAGCAAGAGGAGGCCGAGCCACGTTTTCCCAAGCTCTCTGCTCCCCGAGGTTTTGAAGGCCACCGAAAAGGAAAAAAGAAAAAAAAGCAAAATAAACATGAACGTCCCTCTCTCTTCCCCCCCCTCCCAGCTTTCAGAGTTGGTACAATCCACGTGTGGATCTTTTTCTTCGGGGTGGGGGGACGACTTTCTCTCTGCGTATCGAAAAAAAATTTGAAAAAAAAGGAAAAAAAAAAGAAAAGAAAAAGAAACATAATATTTATGGAATAAAACGGTAATTTCTGTAAATAAGCTATAACAAATCCCCGCCCCCCAAATATGCAAAAATTGGTATTAATTTATTTAGAGTTGTACATTGGAGTGTACATAATTAGAGTTTAACTCATGTTTGATTTCTTTTTTTTTTTTCTTTTTCATTTTACGTGAACGTGCATATATTGTAAATGAAGGTCTGTTTTCCGAGGTCCCTGGGGCGGGGTCAAATGCCAGGTAGGCGTGGCAAGGACTGTGCAGTCCAAGCCTCGCCCACTCTTCCAGCGATATCGAAGGGGCGGGGCTTGGAATGCAAGGGCGGAGCAACCATCTTGAATTTTTTTCGACCTGCTTGTTTAACCCTTTGTGAACGGAAGAAAAATTTTGTTCTGTATCTAAAAAAAAAAACAAGGAAAAAAAATTTATCCCGTGTGTTGGAAGACAATCATTATATTTAGATCCGGTTACAAAGGACCAGGAGACGATCAAATCCTTCAAAAGGAACTCAACAGGGAAAAATATGACTTTCTCCTTATATATAGTTCAAAGAACAACAATGAATAACGAATGAATGATTTAAAACAAAAAACAAAAAAACTTTTACAATGTGGGGTATTAACATAAAGAAAAAAAAAATCAGTACAGGAACCAACCTCAGGTTTTTATTTTTCACTCCAGAGTGGGGGAGGGAAAGACAGAACACCGGAAACCTTTAAAAGTATATGAAAATTTAAAATATCACATGGACGGTGTGCTATATATTGTTTTTTTTTTTTAATGGCATCGTTAGAAAATGTGCTGGTTATTCGGGTATCTTCTTGGTTCGATTTTTGGGATGAGTCCTCTCACAACTTTCAATAAAAAAAAATATTCAAATAATTTTCTTCCTCTTTGGTTTTTCCTCTCTCTCTCTCTTTTTTTTTTTTCCAACCTGGGACCTGGGAATGGATGGGTGGGGAGGGGGGGCAGTTTGAATCCTTCTGAGCCACAAGGTGGGGAACCTTTGAAATGGCAAGTCTTCAGGGAGGGTTTGGTTGTCCAGCCCCACACTTTTCTCCTGGCCAGGATGGACCACGTCATCTCTGCCATTCCCGAAGCCAGCATCTCTTCCTGGTTGAGCTGAAACATACCAAGTTGGATTGCAGTGGTGGTGCTGGTAGGTAATTTCGAAATCTGGATGTCACTGATTCTATGTCTGTCTGTCTGTCTGTCTGTCTGTCTGTCTGTCTGTCTGTCTGTCTGTCTGTCTCTAGCTAGCATCTACCTAGCTAGCATCTCTCTCTCTCTCTCTCTCTCTCTCTCATCTAACATTATCTATCTATCTATCTATCTATCTATCTATCTATCTATCTATCTATCTATCTATCTATCTATCTATCTATCTATCTATCTATCTATCTATCTATCTATCACACCTTAAAGGCTCAATTCTATCTATCTATCATCTATCTATCTATCTATCTATCTATCTATCTATCTATCTATCTATCTATCTATCTATCTATCTATCTATCTATCTATCTATCTATCTATCTATCTATCTATCTATCCTCCACCTACCCACATCTATCTATCTATCTATCTATCTATCTATCTATCTATCTATCTATCTATCTATCTATCTATCTATCTATCTATCTATCTATCTATCTCTTTCTCTTCCCTCTCTTTCATCCATATCTCTCTTTCTCATCTAACATACATCTATCTATTTATCCATCCATCCATCCATCCATCCATCCATCCATCCATCCATCCATCAATCATCTCTCTCTCTCTCTCTCTCTCTCTCTCTCTCTCTCTCTCTCTCTCTCTCTCTCTGTGTGTGTGTATTCACCTTCATTATTTTGTTGAATAACCCAAGGCTGCTAACATACAGTATCTAATACAGTGAGTTCCAGCCCCACCTTAGACATGGAAACCAGCTGGATGACTTTGATCCAATCACTAGGAGATGGTGAATTCTAGTCCCGCCTTAATTATGAAAGTCAGCTGGGTGACTTTGGGCCAATCACCAGGAGATGGTGAATTCTAGTCCCGCCTTAGGCATGAAAGCCGGTTGGGTGACGTTGGGCCAATCACTCTCTCTCAGCCCAACTCACCTCATAAGGTTGTTGTGAGGAAAACTTTGAACAATAGCTAAACAAACAGTTGTAAGTCAAGGATTCCCTGTATATCGTCTGTTGTTAGGAATCCCTTCCTCACTTTACAAAGACCCACGTTTGCCTCAGACTCCTCCTCCGAGCACGCTATCAGAAAGCATTCCCTTTTTTTACACATCAGGGAAATTGGAGACAACCGGTCAAGATTAAAATGATACAACAATAAGTAATAACCATAATCATACAGGTAGTCCTCAGCTTATGGCCACAATTGAGCCCAAACCAGCTGTTAAGTGTGTTTTGTTCCATTTTACGACTTTTCTTGCCGCAGTTGTTAAGTGAATCACTGTGGCTGTTAAATTAGTAACACGGTCATAAAGTGGATTTGGCTTCCCCATTGACTTGGCTTGTCAGAAGGTCGTAAAAGGAGATCACCCGACCCCGGGACATTGCAACCGTCATAAGTACATGCCAGTTGCCCAGCATCCGAATTTTGATCACATGAACACAAGGATGCTGCAACGGTCGTGGGTGAGAAAATGGGCACAAATCACGTTTTTCAGTGATGTTGTAACTTTGAAAGGTCACTAAGCCAATGGCTGTAAATTGAGGACTATCTGTGTCTGCTTTTATTTTTGTTTTAAAAAAGAAGCAAAACCCATCAATTCACATCTGGTCAGTTCGCAATGAAAACAGAATCGTCCTTCTGGAGCTTTTTTTTTTTTTTAAATAACTCCTTTCTAGACAACCCAAAGGTGCTTTTTCACATGCAATTGGACTTTCTTGTGTTTTTTTTTTGAAGACAACCAAGTCCACATTTTGGACAGGGAGGACCGCTGGTTTGAAAGAGGAGTCAAACACGTCAAAACTGAACAGCCCTCTCTCAACAGAGGGGTAGGGATACAATGTCATCTATCTACATCGTGGTCACCATGATGTAAAAAAGATGTTGAGACTCTGGAAAGAGTGCAGAGAAGAGCAACAAAGATGATTAGGGGACAGGAGGTTAAAACATACAAAGAACAGTTGCTGGAATTGGGTCTGTATAGTTTAATGAAGAGAAGGACGGGGGGGGGGCATGATAGCAGTGTTCCAGTATCTCAGGGGCTGCCACAAAGAAGAGGGAGTCAAGCTCTTCTCCAAAGTGCCTGAAGGCAGGACAAGAAGCAACGGATGGAAACTAATCAAGGAGAGAAGCAACCTAGAACTAAGGAGAAATTTCCTGACAGTGAGAACAACTAACCAGTGGAACGACCTGCCTCCAGAAGTGTGGGTGCTCCATAACTGGAAGTTTTTAAGAAGAGACTAGACAACCATTTGTTTGAAATGGTGTAGGGTCTCCTGCTTGGGTTGGACTAGAAGACCTCCAAGGTCCTTTCAACTCTGTTATTCTGTTCTGTTAATTCTGTCACACATGATCCTAGGCACTTACAGCAACCAGTCAAAAGAACACAATATTTCAATATTTTAAACCGGACAACGGGGACAGTGAGTTAATTGATACAGAACATTCCTGTCCTCGGCAATCTAAAAAATATAGGGTTATCAGTGCATGTAACATAGAGGTGTGTGTGGACAAGAATATCAACCTGGCTGTCAAGCAAAATCAAGCTTTTAATAGTGAGTGCCACACCAAGTGCACTAATCCAACAGGTGGTAAGAAAATAGGAGAACTCAGGCACCACACAGATTACGTAGAAAGTAAACACAGGGTTGGTCATAAAGGACTCAAATGTCTGTATACCAATGCACAGAGTATGAGCAACAAACGGTGAATTAGAAATTCAGGTAAATCACAGCAGATATGATATTGTTGCCATTACGGAAACTTGGTGGGATGAAACCCACAAATGGAACACACAGCTAGAGGGATTAAAATTATTTAAAAGAAACAAACCAAATAAAAGAGGAGGTAGAGTTGCTCTCTATATGAGAAATAACTACATCTTTACAGAAATAGAGCACAACAATGTTGAAAACTGTTTCGAATGCATTTGGGTCAATATAAAAGGGGGGGAAATGACATTGCCATAGGTGTATACTATTGGCCACCCAACCAAACAGAGGAAATAGATGAACTTTTTGCTAGTCAGTTAACTAAAGTATGTAGGAAGCACATCACAATAGTAATTGGGGACTTTAATTACCCTGACATCAATTGGGAGACAAACTG